ATTATGGCGCATGAAGGAGATCTAGTCTCTACATCACGACGTTACAAGTAGTAATGTGTGCAGCATGAGAGAAGAGTTATTGATATAGTACAAATGGCATACCGTGGTGCCACGGTGTCAAGTTTGCAGTGGGGCTTTGGTAGGGTTTTTACCGTGTTAACTACAGTCTCTTATGGGTGACAAAAGTAAAATTGTCAAAATGACTGGGTTTAGATCCCTGTACATTTTGCCTTATTCGGTATGATCTTCATGCAGGCCCATGTCTAGTTACTCGACTAGTTATGCAAGCAAGGGGCACTATCCAATGACATTCCGTAAAAGTCTAAATTATGGGGATGGTTTTGAACTCAATGGGAAAAGTACAATAGTCCTAAGTTGAAATTCAAAATTGAAAAAAGTCAGTTGATAGTCTCATAAAATGCACATCTATTTCAAAAATTATTGCTCTGTATTACAAAAGTCTACATCGAAGCCCTCCGTATGGCTCGCAACTAAAATGAAAGCGTACTACATGTTTTCTGTGTCTTCTCCATCCCAATACTCTGTGTACCCTCCATTTGCCTTTATCACTGCTACGCATCTTTCGTGCATGCTGCCAACTAGTGACAATAGCTCCTCTGAACGTATAGAATCCCATGCATCCTGTAGCAATGTCTTCATCGTGGCAGAGCGCACAAGCCTGACCCCATTTATCTCAGGACTATTTACCTTAATGTGGTTTTTTAAGATATTCCACAATGACTCGATCGGGTTCAAATCCGGAGAGCAAGGTGACCATCTAATAGGCGTTATTCCAACTCCACGCAGCGCCCCAATTGTTGAGTACGCATTATGACATGGTACGTTGTCGTGCATGTATAGAATTTCTGGATTTTCCGAGTGAAATTGATTCAAAAGTGGCAAAATCCTTTCACAAAAGTATGAGGCCATCATTGATCCCTAATCCTTCTTCCAGACTAGGAATGGGCCTTTTTATGATCCATAAAATGATCCCCAAACATCCAACTGTTGCCATGAGCATGGCGAACCACAATACAAGTCTCATCAAACTCATCATCAGGCTAAAATCTGCTGTTATTACGAGGAAGATTTTGATAGCATTTATATGTACTTTTCTAATGACACGAGGTTTCATATGACAATCACCCGATACCAAGTTTTCATCAGTCCATAATATGCGACTCCATTGTTCATCGCTCCAATCTAAATATAATTGGGCGAGCTCCAATCTTTTCTGCTTGTTCATCGCGCTTAACGGGGGCTTCTTCCGAGCAATGCATCTGCTGTAACCTCTTTTTCCGAGTGCATTAGAAATTAGCCGTTCACTGCATCCCCAGTGGCTGAAGGGCCCCATGGCTAGTTCCAAATAGCACATCTGTAGATTTTCAGGAGATTCCCGGACGAAAGCCTCAAGCTCATCAACTTGTTCCGCGCTTAATTTTGGTAAGGGTCCTTTGCGAGACATAGGATTCTCAGTCTCTCGAGCACACGCAAGTTGTACTTGTCTTATTGTGAAGCCAAGTTTGTCGGATATATTTTGAAGTGTCAAGCCAAGTCTTCTTATTGCTCTTATTTCTATACATTGATCGCGAGTTAGATGCTTGCGAACTTTAGTTTCTGAAGCAGACTTTTCGAGAGACATTGTTTGCCGGAATAGAGGATGAATTGATAGTGGTGAGAAATTTCAGAGATTGTGTAGGCTTGGCAGCCAAAAATGTTGTTGAAAATATGCTTTTCTAAGCAATTATTAGAAGACAATTGGACCATACTTCATGGCGAGCGGGGTAAGGAGGAGAGATATACTAACCTATTACGAGCTAGCCCAACTGCACCTACAGGGCTAATCCCTTCAACGACCCAGTTTGAAGTTTTACCTTTTGGAACCTAGAGGCACTGTAAGACGCCCTAGACATAGTCACCTTCCACATTGGAGTTAGCCCCCGTATTTGTGCAAATTTTCGAAAAATTTTGTATCGCAGTATTTATCTGGACATCATAGTTTGCAGTGGGTCTTTCCTTCGTACTAAACCTAATTTGTATAATGATCGGCTGCATAACATTTGTGCATTTTTGCTACTTGACTTTGTTCCTTATTTACAAGAGTTCAAAGGTTTACAAATTACAAAATAGAGCCAGTCTTATCCTAACCTTAGATCTAAACATGTGGCTGGAATATTTTCAGGCCTTAATATCTGGTCAATCCCCCATCCGCATTTACCACAGCCTGACACCTTGCCAGCATACTCTGAATGAGTTTCACAAAATCTTCGGAAGACACAGAATCCCATGCCTCCTTTACAATGTTGCGAAGACTATCTTGAGTTCGCTGCTTTCCGCAACCCAGATTCGGATGATGACGCTGGATATAATCCTTCATCTTATTCTAAATAGCTTCAATCGGATTAAGATTAGGTGAGTTGGCCGGCCAGAAAATCGGTTGAATGAGCCGCTGGCTCTTATCTTGCATTGTAATTGCGGCTGTGTGGGCAGGAGCATTATCCTGCATTACGGAAAGCCAAGGTCTCATCGAGACCATGCCATCGATAAGAGGAACTATCTTCTCGCAATATTTTTGGGAGTCAATGGAACCCCATTCCTTCTCCCAAAACAAACAAGGGCCTTTTTCTGGCCCTGCGAAGCAACCCCAGAACATCCATCCGACCCTATTCTTCGATTTTTCTCCAACACAATCAGCGTTGTATTCTTGGGAAGTCTAGCTCATAATGTTAGAGCATCAAATTACCATCTTCTTATTGAGGAATGTGCGAACACTTTATGTCACCCATTCTCTAGAATGTCTTCTATCCTCTACCCAAGTTTCGTCTGTCCATAAAACTGACGTCCAGTCTTCATATGTCCAATTGAGATGAGCTTCGGCCCATTCTCTGCGTGTCTTCATAGTTTTCTGAGATACTGGAGGCTTTAGACGAGCCACATATTGCTAATATCCTCTTTTTTAAGTTCTCTTTGTATTACCCGCTCGCTAACACCAAGATGTCTAAAGGGGCCAGAGGCGAGTTCCAGAAAAAATTTGCGGCGGTTTGCAGGTGAAGACTCATCGTAAGATATAATCTGATCAACATCATCTGCTTTCAGTTTTTAGGATGTTTTTTTTCTCTTTTTGGGGGAGATAGTTCCGCGGCGCAATGAATAACTAACTTGTCCCCGAGAAATACCTAGTTGCGCGGCAATCTGCGTCTGGTTTTTGCCAGATTCATGAAGCCCATAAATCTTAATTTTTCTTTTAATTTATATTTGTTCATATCTAATTTTCTACTTACTAAAATGTTTTGATCTCTGGATAATTGTTTGATTCGAGGTGTTGAAGGTGGGGTTTGAGGTAGATTCATCTATAAAATAAGGTTATTATCGAGTAAAGCCATGTGTCTTCTGAATAAATAACTTTGTATTTGAGAAATCTAATTTTTATTGTATCTCAAGCACAAGGTGAGAAGAGCTGTGTAATTTCTTAGCGGTCGGCGCTCAGCAAAGCAATGGTAAAGAACTAGAGAACGGGTTGGACTTGCTTAAAACTGAGGGTGACATGAAATCAAATTGTGCCCTCGGTTTAGGCCTGGAAATACAGGACAGGAATTATGTGACCTGTCGAAATTGGAGCTAACATGGGTGCAACCCTGTAGCGAATATGCGCCCCATATAAATCCACTGAAAACTTGAAATCGTGGCACCACGGTAGATGCGCAGTTGGGAGTACAATTTGTTGCGCATCTTTCTGGTCACGTGATCGGTCTACGAGCGAACAAGCTAGGGGATAAGGGATGAGCTTAACCCAATCTGTAACATGATAATCATCTCAGTAACTTCACTTCCGCATATAAATGAAGATATCTCTCCACAAATTGTCTTAGCTGTTCCAGCGCAAGTGTACATTCCCAAATCATATATCAATTATAATACAAACGCCATCTACAGAAAGCGTATTTTTATTTAGTAGTAAAGTTTTAAGGTTGCCCTATCAATAGTGACCTGTAAGTTGATATTAATGCCCATGACTTTACATGATGGCTGAGGGGAGGCTTGACAGTCATATCATGTATTGGAACTAGCCTCGACCTTGATTCAGGTCGAGCTCACGTATTTCTCAGTGATAAATGATGTTATGGCTGTTACAGTCTGTAGCCCTGTATGTGGGTCCGAAACTATCCGGCTCCGGCCATGAAAAAAGCGCGCTAATGTCACGGGAAAACGCGCTCGATTGGAAAAAAACATTTTGTGCGCGCGTCGTAGATATCCTCCTCAATAGATAAAATATAAATTCATTTTTGGACAATTACGCCCTCTGGGCTCCATACACGCAATGAGCAAGGCAGTGTAGGTGCTTGAACATGAAACACCTACACGTGACATAAATGCCAATCTAGTCTTGGCATTACTCAGCAAACACCTACACCCCATGTAAATAGATCTCGCTGTAGTTACTCCTCCTTTCATAGCCTCTCTACCATTCTCCCACCTCGTGATTTGGACCCATAATTGTGGACAACAAATATGAAGTCCCTTCACAATGGAGTTATTTTTAGAGCATGGTGAAATGGGTTCGCCAATTCTCTTTCTTTCCTGCCCCTTCTTTGACCAAAAAGCGAGCCTTGATATTCCGGTCGGTCATGAGATTTTATACTTGTTAGTCTTACTATGGGATGATCTATTTTAAGCTACTGAGCATTGAAGAAAACTTTAAAATAATCGTTCTCGTTGGTATCAATAATATGGCTAGTTTGTTCGAATAGTAGAATTGATTTCCCAACAGGAATTTTCATTTACAAAACCCCCCTGAGCCTAACATCTCTTGGATGTCGTGAGAAATCGTCTCGATCAAATTTGTGACTACAATCAACTTAATGGCTGCTTGTTTCTATCTCAATTTGTCTCTTGGATTTAAATTATTATTCACAGATTAGATGGCGAGATACTTATTACCGCTATATCATGGTGTCTGTTGTTGTTAAAGATTGCCACTCCAAATGGTACTCGCTCATCTTCTACCAGTCCATGATACTCTCATCCATGACGAAATGAACTTCACCGCAAGCTTGAGCCCGCGCATTACTAATCTCCCATTCGAATTCTTTCAAGGCACGGATTTCACTGCCGATAAACAGTCCACCAATTAAACCATCGATCACGCCAGCACTTAATCCAAACGTACTCACGAGCAAGAGCACAAAGGTAACAAAATTCCGAGGAGCCCACCAAACAACAAGTAGACAAATAAGTGTCAATAGAAATGAAAAAACAAAGTGGCCGAGACGGAGTTTGCGCTGTCGTCTCTCGCGGATTCGATACTGGCTTATTAATCCAAGAACTTCATCATACACATTCAATGGAAGAAAAGATTTGCACTCATTAGAAGCGTAGTTTTCGTTGGAGAGTGATGAAGGTAAAGCGCTATCTTTGTCCTTCGTCCCGTATTTGTTTTCTAAACTGGCATTTTTCCGCTTTTTGCTAAGAGTTGCCTCCACCGAAAAGTGATCACTGAGGGAGCATTGTAGCATTGGATGTCTCGACATCATCCCAACTTTGATAGAAGTTATCGACCATAAATTATTATTTGTTGGGCTAATTGAACTGCTAATCGAGCTAGCAAATATGTAATCGAGCCGCTTTGCCTTGAGATCTATTTTATCTCTGGGTACTTCTATCAACGGGCAGTCAGGGCCTAGCAGCTTTTGCTGGCTCTTCTCCCACCGCCATGTATTATACACACTATCACACGTTGTGCCGTTTTCAACGATATTAGACTCGGCCGTTGGAAATAGTTTTCGTTGCGCTATCCCAGCTTCGTCTCCAGCAGCCCCAAGAGCAGACTCTGGATGTGAGGAAAGCCATAAGTCGTAGACAGGAGCGTGTGTTGTGATAAGACGATGAGCTAGAGAGTTAGGCAGCATATTAAAGTCTCCTAGCCCCACAACGAGATGTCCTCTTTTAACGGCACCACGAAGAAGTTTCGACATCTCCCATGCTTGAGCCGTTCGATGACAAATATAGGAGTCATTAGGTTCTCGCTCGTAGGGTGCATGTAGCTATTCTCATCAGCTTCAGCTACTTTCAGATTATAAGATGCGTATCTCACGTGGGTATTGAACACCTCTATGATTTCACTTGCGTCGATGCCATATCGTAGACTTGCATGCGCTATGCCCTTTCCTACAAACCAATCACCTCGGAAGAAAGCAGTTGGCCTCCCATTGAGTGGATAACGAATCATAGAAGTCTCCTCAATTGGCCATTTAGACAGAATTGCCAATCCAGCGCCGAATATTCCACTATGATAAAGCTTTCCAAAAGGTAAAATGTGTCTGGTTTCTCGTCGTATGCTTTGATAATCTTGGTGAGTCCAACATTCTTGTAATCCCACAATCTGCGGCACAGGATCTGCACTTGCGATGCAGCGGCCAATCTCTGCTAGGCGTTCGCTGCGAAACTTGGCTAGATATTTGAGACCCCAACAATTGAAGGTAAGGATGCTGATCTCCAAAGTATCTGGGGAATCCATAGTTTATATATTAGGAAGTACACTTAGCGTCGGGAGACACACATCGTCTTCTGATTAATTGATCCTTATTCCGCTCTCGGCGGTAACTCGACAAGCGTGAGGGATAATGGCGTCCAAGCGCTCAAAGCTAAGCATGTGGAATACAGAATCTATTAAAAAGCTGAACTGCTAGCATACTCGTGAATTTCAGTGCTTATAATGTCATGAGATTTGGGAAATTACCAATGAAGCTGGCTTGGTGAAAAAATGTAGGTAGCTCCTGTTTACACACCGGGGCTTGCATCTGCTTCATTCACAGCCCCTCCAGCAGCAGTGTTTCCATAGGTCTTCATTTTTATACGCATCTAGAGGTATCATTTGAATTTTATTGCCTCTAATCTCTAGCAAACGGAACGCAGGCCATATATGGATACGTAGTAACTGAGAAAATATGTCGAAAGTACCGGGTGCACTGCTTCCACACTATCGATGTAGCGACTATGATCAAACAAACAGTTACTCTTTAGGAGAAATAAGAGGTTCTGTTGGAAATTCAGACTCTCGAATTTTGCACTCAGTCGTTATCTGTTACATCTGAGGTTCCTGGCACGATCGACTCTCTCCACACGTGTCCCGAATACGCTAATCGCACCCATTATTACATATATATTTGGATATTTACGTTCTGCAGTGTACATTAGCTTATCTTAGTAGATAAGAGGTATCTGGTCATCACTAGGTTTGACAGGCACGTGAGACTAGTAGGAATATCTCCCTTAGATGTATGTGTAAGTCCAGTGTTCCTCTAGTTATAAAATATCAAGACTTCTTTCATCATCACATTTCCATATAATATTGTACAGAGTATTTTTTCCCATGGACTCCTCGGGTCCGGGCGTAATTTATCTACAAATAGCTAATGGGATATTTGGTTAAAATTAAATGATAGAATCTTGAAAAACAAATAGTGAAATATATACCCCATTCAATTGAACTTGGTACTTTGTTTAATTGTACTAATCGGTGCCCTGAGAACCCATACAGTTTTCTATAAAATATATATATGGAGGTGAACCTGTGTGTTCCAGGGGGACTATTCTCAACACCTGTCAGTGGTGTCCCCTACAAACCTCCAGCTCTCACTGTAGAGCTTACAGAGCCGAGATTGATTAACAAAGTCCTCACTTCGATGAGGATTCCCAATCGCTTTCGCGGTCTGTATCGTCTTCATCTCTCAACACATTCCCCCATCACCATTATCATGAAGCTAACCACGATCAGATTAGATGGTAGGGTCGGAGCCCTACTCATCACTAATCCTTGATCATGGAGGAAAAGCCATCCGATGAGTTTCCGTAGCGTACCCAGCACCCGATACGGAGATGGTGGATTGGATCAAGTCGGCCTCGACTATCAAAAAGAAGGAAGATATAGATGAATATGCGCACCTCATATGGTCCCGGTGTATAGGCCTCGCCTGGCTTGGGCAGCAGGGTTTTCGAGACTTTTTCCCGCGTACGCAGTTGATATTGCTGCCGCTCTAATTTTTGGGTAGAAGGTTCCGTGGAAAAGTAGGCCAAATTCCACGGGTAAACACTGAGCTGAATGGCTATTCATCAAGGGGAACATATCAATGATCTTTCAAGTAACAAAAGATGATAGGAGCACTGTACAAGGTGTGGCCTGGGTCCGAGAGGAGCCCAATGTGCTAGATAGTGTTCGGATTAGGTCCTGGTCAACGATGTCTATTCCAATTGTGCTATGTTGCAAGCTACTGTTCTAATTATTCATGGGATCATCATCAGGTTGTGAATAGTTTCGATTTGGTGTGGGTTGTTAGATTGATACCTAAGCATGTTGCATGGTAGTCAGACATGCGACTCGAGTAGCATATGCACGGTAAACCTCAACCTCAAAATGATGATACGAATCAAGCTTTACATGCTACGTCCTGTATGGCTAGCGTGGTTGGAATATGGGGAAGTTACCTGTAGATAGATAAAGACGTTGTAGCCCTCTGATAGTTGGGACAAGTCTTCTACAACATTATATCGGAATCAAATCTAGCCGCTCATTAAGCAATCTCATGAATTATTTCCAATGTCTGTGATATCAGACATACATATAAAATATCGACAACAACTTTAATGTCGATAAGATAGTCATAGACTCAAGTAGTACAATAAACACACAAACCCACACAATTTTCTGAAATTCGAATTTTCGAATATCCCTATTTTCCCCCTCTTCCTCCCTCTCTCGATATTGTGATATCGTACACCCTTCAAAATTTGTGAGCGACTGGCAGGCTACCAATATGCCCCCAGTTCGCAGTAAGCCATCGCGGGCGAAAGACATCGTAGATAACCGCAAGCACCTCAAACACGTTGCTCGACAGAAAGCAAGCGTCAAGTTTGGTCCACTGACTGCCGTTCAAGAGATGGACATCGACCAATTAATTGACGAAAGTACCATAGATTGCGATATGATAGATGTTGGCAACTTTGACATTGACAAGATTCTTAAGAATCTGAAAAGACTACCCAACTCAATTCACTCCAAGCCAGATGCGACCGGTGCTGAAAATGCAGCGACGAGTCGCAACTTTTTAGGGACAGCGACTACCGGACAGCATATACTTCCTCTCATTGAAGTCGCTGTGCCAGCTATGAGGCGGGCTGCGATTGCAGATGCTAACAAGGCAAAAGGTGCAGCATCTACCCCAAACCCCCTGGAACATACACCAGGAACCACAGAAGAGAATCCTTCTTCTCACGGTGGAAATGAAGGCAGGCAGACGGAAGAATGCCCCCGAACTCAGAGCCTTAATTGAGGCTGAGGAACACCGGGCCGCAAAAACTGCAGAAAATGTAAAAATTTGCACCGCTGCAATCAACGGTGTCGAGAATGCTCTCTCCCCCCTATCCAAAGGGTCGAGTGTTCAATTTATAGACTCTATGAAAGTCTACATTAGAGCTGCAATGGCTCAATTTATGATCGCGGGACCAGGTACAGTCCTCCCATCACTTCCCCCACGCCCCGAAAGCCAGGCTACTAGTTGCAAGACCGCAGAATATGCTGCTGGTAAGCAAAGTGAGCCACAACGCGAAGCGGCTCAAGCCGAAGTGCGCCAGTCCAAAACCACTTGGGCCACGATCACCCGTAATGGTCTACAGACGCTCCCAGCACCTACAAAAGTCGCGCAGACAATGCCCAAGGCGGCAAACTCGACTCGAATGGCCCAAAATTCAACCAGGCCAACAAAACCGGCCGTGCAAGACGAACGTTTGTTTCTCCGCCTCGAAAAAGGACATCCCTGGCGAACATTCTCACCTTTCGGTGTTAGAGAACCAATTACGCAAATGCTCGAAATCCCCCAAACAAAAATTGAGCATGTCTACCGTGTGCCAACTGGCTTCGCAATCAGAGCCGAAAACCAAGAGGCACGCGCGCTGATGCTTAGCCTAGCTGGATCCTTCGCCCAGCAGGATGCGATATTGGAGAAAGCGTCGGACTTGGCTTCCCTAAAAATAGCGACGGTCCCAGTCGCAATTAACACAATAATGGGCAAAGTTCTCATCACAGAAAAGATGGTGGCCGACGAGATAGTCAGGGTCACTAAGGCTGTCCAGATAAAAGTTCGCCCACGCGGGAAAAGCCGACCTCGCGCCCCATACCAGTCATGGGTAGCCCTTTTTGAAAAAGCATCGATTCCTCGGCCAGGTTTCCGACTTTTCGACGACTCTAGGATTGCAGTCCGCCACCAGCTTCGTCAAAGCATCAACCAGTGCAAACGATACCTACAATTCCACGGCACAAGGGGCTGCTCGCGAGCCCCAGCCTGCTGGAATTGCACTTCGACTATGCATTCCATCGCGGAGTGCAAGGCACACACCAAGTGTCGCAACTGCAGGGGTCCACACAGATCAGATAGTCGGGACTCTCTAGCTCGCCCTACAAAGTCTGGGACGGCCTCCAAGGAAAACCTACAGACCATCAGGCAGGCTAGCAAACACGAATTCGCGGCAGTTACTCGGGCCGAAGCAGCTGTCAGACGCGCAGTGGCAGCGATGACAGCAGCCGCAGAAGCGTCAAATACTAACCAGCCAGGTTTTAAATCGAGCAACTGTTTTGAAGTTCTCATGTCCGATGCTACAGCAACTGTAGCCGAGGTCGATGAGGCATCAAATCAGCAAAAATCTTTGTGAAGGGCACCCCACGGGTCTCTTCAAGCCTCTCTCCTACTCTAAGCTTTATGTCAATAAACGTAGGTAGAGGGGGCTCAACGCAAAATATTGCGCTTTCCCGAGCATTTGAGCTGGGTATCGACGTGGTTCTTGTTCAAGAACCTCTGTGGAATAAACAAAAGAACACAACAAAGGATCATCCAGGATATACCTATCATCTGCCTAACGGCGGCGAAAATGTTAGGCCGAGGGCTGTGACCTATACCCGGATAGAGATAAAAAGATATCGGCAACACAGATCTTTTCTTATGTTGTGTCTACAGGAGACTATTGCTGGGTTGAAGTGAACGGTATTACTTTTCTCAACGTCTACAAGGCACCCAATGACTCGACAGCTATACAGCCTCTCATCAACTGGATTCCACTGCCAAACTCCGTCGCTGCTGGGGACTTTAACTCTGTATATTGGGCTTGAAAACCTGGCGTGGAACGTCCTCATGGACAAGGAGAAATGATCGAAAAATGGGCAGACAAACACCATTTGACCTGCCATATTGTTGGGGGGCCCACTCACCGAGCTGGAAACATACTAGATCTAGTTTGGAGTAATGCCGACGGCGCCCGTGCTTGGGTAGATCGTGGTGGATGTGTCACCAGCGATCACTTCCCTATCCGAGGACAAATTCCATTTCACAACTCAGTGATGAGACCCGAAAAGACAAAACTCCGAGTAACAAAGGAAAATCTACCCAGATACGCCAAAGTAATTGCACAGTGGGCTCGACCACCACCAGTTCTTGACGCAATCGAGAGGGTTGAAGAGTATGCCGAGGA